GAATCGATTACAACAACAGCACACAAATGAAACCATCGGCTGTGTTTCATCAAATATAATTTAAAGATAATCTCTTTTGGACTTACTCAAAGTGCTGGTAGTTGGAGGACGTTACTGGCAGGCCTTGTTTCTTTTCTTACATGCACTTACTTTTCCTTTTTCCTTCTTCTGGTATCCTTAGGATGGCGAGGGGATGTGCAGGTTTCGGTCCTGTGCTAAGTGTGTGGCGTCTGTGATAGATGATCTATTTTATGTTGTTCCAGGACCTTAGTAGCCCCATCCGGCCAGGTCCTTCTTGGTTTTCCTCTTGATTTGAAGCCGGATTCACGGGCGTGATGAGCCCTTGCCGCTCGTTGTTTCTGGGGCATTCTAGTTAGAACTTAGATGTCCGTACCACTTGACTCTTTGACGCTCAATGAAAGTTATTTCTGATGGTATTCTTTTCTATCCATCTATATATCTGCGGGTGGTTTGGTTTGAGGGCGCCACTGATAGGTCCTACTTCTTTACTTTCCCACTGCTGTTTTTTGTCCGATTGCCTTACCTTTTTCCCTAGCACGCTTTTAATTCACACCAAATGACCGTCTGTCTGTCCATGTACACGTACTTCTCTTTTCTGAACTAATATAATTCTATGTAATCCAAGTCTTAGCGGTTTACCTACGTCCGTCTTCAGGGGCTTAGCTCTGTGTTTGTGTGTATTGTGTGTGTGTGTGTGTGTGTGTGTGTTTGTGTGTGTATGCGTGTATGTACGTGCGTGTGTGTATATGTGTGTGCGTGTAATTGTGTATCTGTGTGTGTCATGTACGTGTGTGTGTGTATACTCCACCTCTTGGCAAACTTGGAGATCTACAAGCTTAGGGGTTGTAAAACCCGTATCGTACCTCGAGAGCAAACAGCCCTTGATGGGATTGTTTGACACGGATGCTTTTCTCTGTAACTTGTAACTGATACAAATGTGGGACACATCGTCTGAAGTATAACATAGATTGGATAATTCGTATGTCAAGAGTTGACGATAACGAAGCGGCTTACAGTCACAGGGAAGTGAACATGCATGACTGTGTTCATTAGGACACAAACTTGTCCTCGTATTTATCATTGTATCCGTGAACTAGATCTATTCTAGGTACTCGTTTATGTACGCAGGTGGTGGTTCTACATCAATTGATCATTCTGTTGATATTATTGATAACGACTGACTTTACGCCATTCCTACACAGTGATTTAATTGTTTTTAAGATGGTGGTGGGGAGCGGGGGGTTCATCTCTTCCGACGTATGAGTTGCTGAACAAAAGTGCCGAAATGTTTAGTTTATAATATATCATGTTTTGTTTTTTGCTGTTTTGTTTGTCTATGGGGCGGAATCAGAGACAGAAAAAGAGTGAGTGAGTGAGAGTGAGTGAGTGAGTGTGTGTGTGTGTGA